TTGGGGAAACTAAAGATTTGAGTTCCTTGTCTGTTCGAGAGTTAAAGAGTTCACTTCAATCCTTTGATCATAGATTAGATAGGCATGCTAAATACTCAGTTGAGAGTGCATTTCAAGCACTTATAGTGAATGTGAAAGGAAGGAGTAGAGTCCATCTTCATCTCAACAAAGAACAAAGCAAGCCCAATTATTCAGCCAAACAAGAATTGGAAGGGAAAGAATCAGAATTTCAAATGGAAAGGAACTTTTCAAAAGAATTCCTATTTAAGGCCATCTTCCATACAAGAAAAGTGCAAAATTTGTAATGGGAAGAATCATTATGAGGATACTTATAGGTTTAAAGGAAACCAAAGTGTCCTAGATGTGGTATCTTTGGCCAATTACAAAAACATTCTAATGTGAAACTCAACCAAGTTGCAAACTATGTAGAAAAAGAAGACAAAGATGCTAGTCTTTTCTATTTTTGTTATACAGCTATGACTGAAGACAAAGAAGATGATATTTGTTTTGTTGACAATGGATGTAGTAATCGCATGATTAGCAACAAGAATCTCTTAATGGAGTTTGATGATATAAAGAAGACAAAGGTCAAGGTGGGTGTTTCTTATTGTGTAGCTGTACTCGGAGGGCACTATGGCAATAAAAAAGAAGAAGAGTAGAAGATTTATCCAGGATGTGATGCTTGTACCTAAGCTTGATTAGAATTTGCTTAGTGTGGGGTAACTGATGAATAGTGGTTATCATGTTCACTTTGGTGATGACTTTTGTAAGATATTTAATAAGGAAAACAAATGAGAAGTTATTGCAAGGGTTAGAATGACTGAGAATGCAAGTTTTTCATTTACATTGAAATATTCTAACTTGGTGGCAATGAAGGTGGACGCAGTTGATTCATCAAGGTTACGGCATAGGAGATTGAGACATCTCAATTTCCAAAGTTTGAAACATTTTCAACAACATGCCATGGTATATAGGCTCCCTACAATACATGAAGCACAAGAAGCATGTGAGGGTTGTGCTATGGGAAAACAACACCGTGACTCATTTTCAAGAGAATGAGCATGGAGAGAATCAAAACCTCTTAAGCTCATTCAGTCAGATGTTTGTGGACCAATGAAAACCGTCGCTAATGAAGGTAACAAATAATTTTTGATTTTTGTAGATGATTCTTGAAGAATGACACGCTTTATTCCTTGAGTTATATATCATAAGTATTCTTTGTGTTTAAGAAGTTCAAATCGATGATGGAAAATAAAAAGGGTTTGACAATTAAAATTCTTAGAAGTGATAAAGGTGGTGAGTATACCTCAAATGAGTTTGGAAGATTCTGTGATGATATGAGACTTGAAAGACAACTTACTGCAACTTATTCACCACAACAAAATGGTGTAGCTGAGAGAAAGAACATGACTATTGTTGAAATGGCAAAGTCTATGCTACATGAAAAGGGGATGCCCTATAAACTTTGGGAGGAAGCCGTATATACAATTGTCTACCAAATTAACAAGTCTCCAAATAAAGCTTTGAAGGACAAGACACCATTTAAAGCAGACATGGCTGAAAACCATTTGTAAATCATTTGAGAGTGTTTCGGTGGATTTCGTTCGTTCACGTTCCTAAGAACCTTAAGTACAACTTGAAGAAAACAATGAGAAGTGTATCTTTGTGGGGGTACAATGGTCATACAAAGGGTTATAGGCTATTTGATTTGGAGAAAAAGAAAATTATCATTTCAAGAGATGTTTTCAATAAAAAAGCATTTTGGGATTGGAAGAACAAATCCACCCAAGATTATTGACTTCAAGTTAATGATAGCAACGAAAAATGAAGAGAATGAAGTTGAAATTGAAAATGAAGATCCACCACAATCACAAGCCAGCTCTTCATTATCACAATCACAAACGTCTACACCTAGCCCAGCTTCTATTAGGATGAGATGGCTCAGTGATGTGTATTCAAGTTGTAATTTATGTGTCATTGAACTGGAAGGTTTTGAAGAGATTATGCAAGATATAGCTTGGCAAAAAGCTATGGAGGAATAAATCTCAGTGATTGAGAAGAATTCTACATGGGAATTGGTAGATAGGCTTTGTGACAAAAATGTCATAGGTGTCAAGTGGATTTACAAGACAAAGTTGAATTTGGATGGTTTAATCCAAAAGAATAAGGTAAGGCTAGTTGAAAAGGGCTACTCACAAAAATTTGGAGTAGATTTCCATGATACTTTTGCACTGGTGGCAAGACTTGAGAGACTATTTGGATCCTAATTGCATTGACTGCTCAGAATAGTTGGTATCTGCACCAACTAGATGTCAAGTTAGTATTCTTGAATATGGTTTTGAAAGAAGAAGTCTATGTTGATCAACCAGAAGGCTTTGTTGTGAAAAATGAAGAAATGAAAGTGTACAAGTTAAAGAAAGCTCTCTATGGGTTGAAGCAAGCACCTTGTGTATAGTATGGGGAGATTGATGCTTTCTTCATCAAGAATTACTTTGAAAAAAGGGAAGAGTGAGGCTACTTTGTACACCAAAAATGAAGGTAAATAAAAAATCCTTAGTATCTCCATCTACGTTGATGATTTGGTGTTTACAGGAAGTTATGAAAAAATGATTTCTGATTTTAAGAGAGATATGATGAACAAGTATGAAATGAGTGATTTAGTCTTGTTGCATCATTTTTTAGGAATTGTTGTGTGCCAAACCAATGATAACATCTTTATCTCACAAGATGTGCTAAGAATCTCCTTGAAAATGGAATGAGTGGGTGTAAGTCTGTATCTACACCTTTTGTTGCTAATGAGAAGCTACAAAAAGAAGATAAAAGTGGTGAGGTTGATATCTCATACTTTAGGAACATTGTCAGAGGCTTGATGTATTTAACTGTTACAAGACCATATATTATGTATGTAAGTTCACTGTTGTCTAGGTTTCATTTTAAACCAACTCAGATTCATCTTGGGACTGCTAAAAGAATATTGAGATACACTCAAGGTTCACTAGATTTTGGCATTCTATATGAAAAATGTTGAGCTAAAAGTAGTTGAATTTTGTGACAGTGATTGGGTAGGTAGCATGGATGACATGAAGAGTACATTGGGGTATGCTTTTTTATTAGGGACTGGTGTGTTCTCATTGACTTCAAAGAAGCAAGACAATATTGCTTTATCGACTGCGGAAGCTGAATATGTATCAACTACTTTGGCAAGCACTCAAGCTATGTGGCTAAGGAAGATAATGAATGATATTGGTGAGAAGCAAGAAGAGTTAACTCCTCTCTTTTGGGACGATAAATCTGCAATAGCAATGTCCAAGAATCCTGTCAATCATGATGCTACTAGGCACATCAAACTAAAGAATCACTTCATCAGAGATGTTATTGAAGAAAAAGAAGTTAACATAGTCTATTGCAGAACAGAGGAGCAAGTTGCTGATATCTTCACCAAAGCAATTGCCAAAGATCAGGTTTCAATGCTTGAGGACACTATTGGGAGTTCAGCAAATTCACGTTAAAGGGGAGGGTTAAATATAATTAATATTCAGTTGTAATTATAAGAACATCAAATGTCATTTCGTGTAATATTACATTATGTCTTGAAAAGCCAATATGGTTGCAGACAAGTAGGTGAAGTGTGTTAAGGAAGATGGTAATGTATTGATAGAAGAGAAAATCTATATTTTCTAAAAAAATCTCTCCATTGAAATCAACAGAGAAGCCAAAGGCCAACTTTCTGGTTTTGTTGGCTCAATGATCATTTTCCACGAAAACTTAGCTTTTTCTTCTCTTCTCCGTTTTTTTTATCCAAACCTTGCACATATCTTATGAAATCTTGAGTAAATATTCTAGCTTGATACAAAAAATCCAACAAAACCTTTTCTGATCAGATGCAACTTAAACAAAAAATTCCTCTCATTTTTCACAATAAAAAATGTTAGTACCTCATCCAAAGTCTCACTTTTTACAATGATAAAGTACGGGGAACTTGTGGCTCAAATGTTAGGTACATTTATACGTGAGATTATGTTCGATTTTCCTTTCTCTCCATATATCGCTTATATAAAATCAAGTTTTAAAATGTAGCGTGGATGCTGTTGCCATTTCATCCAATATTTCTTTCTTACCCAACATATCCCTTTGTGTTCCAGAAAATGAAAAATAAGACTGATCAAATAGCTAATTATCTTAGGATGCTACCTTATTTTTCTTTCTTATTAAGCACAACCTCTTGTTTTTAATCCACCATTGTTGTTACAAAGAAACTTGCAATTAATCAGGATTTTCACCATTAAGATTCATCAATAATTTTGATTAGTTTAGTTATACCATCAAGAAATAACTATAATATCCAAATTTCCTTATTTACATGGCTTTTCCCATTGTGGGCCTGTCAAACTCTTTGACTACATCGATTCATTCCTAACAGGATACTCTTCGGATCCTTTTGGTGACGATCTTGGAGATCCGTGAATCATGTCCATTCATCGTACATCGTATGGTTAATTTTTGTCAAGTATTATTTGTGTTTAATTTTAAATAAAAATATTTAAAATAATTTCTGACCACATAATTTACGATAAAAGAACAGGATTGACGGATCCCCGGGATCCTCACAAAGAGGATCCAGATTCCATCCATGCATCCATAATATAAATCATGCATATGTACGTACATTGCCAAATTAATCTTATTCTAATCCAAAATCCAAACCAAGAATTTGCCATGATAATATCCTATCAAATTCAACTCTTCAAACCTAAATATGGCAAATACAACAAGGAAGGAAAGAATTTCGATTAGGTTATTTAGTTGTCGAGATAGCCAATATTTAGTTACCTTTTGGTGCATGCATATGCCTTATAAACGTTACGTTTTTGGATTTTAGAGATAAGATTAAGGAACAAAGAGAATTAAACCATTCCGATCTTTCGTCTCTGCCCTTGTTCTTGATAATTGGGTTTGCTTATAATTCAGAGGCTTTTAGGACTTCGAAACTTTGTACTGTGATGGCTGGAGGGGCTTTCGTTGGTGATGGCGGAGGGAGGAGCTATGAAGGAGGTGTCACCGTCTTTGTGCTATTCACTTGTGTGGCGGCTGCCATGGGCGGTCTCCTCTTCGGATATGATCTCGGAATCTCAGGTAATAAGTTGTATAATTTTCCCTTTGCTTAAGAGAATTGAAATCATGAAGTGAAACAAGTATTATTAAAACTGGGTTTTGAATAATCGGTCGTATACATGTAGGGGGAGTGACTTCAATGGAGTCGTTCTTGAAAAAGTTCTTCCCATCTGTGTTCCACAAAATGAAGAATGAGACTCATCAAAACCAGTATTGCAAATTTGACAGCCAGTTGCTTACATTGTTCACGTCGTGCCTCTACATTGCGGCGTTGGTGGCATCCTTTTTGGCTTCAACGGTTACTAGGAAATTTGGTCGAAAAATCTCCATGTTTATGGCAGGCCTTGTGTTTCTTCTTGGCTCTATCCTAAATGGTGTTGCCAATAACATTACACTTTTGATCATTGGTCGTCTCTTGCTTGGTGTTGGTGTTGGATTTGCAAACCAGGTGCATATATCTTTTATCCTTAATAGTTATCCCTTTTTCACATGTGATTAACACATACAAGTCTAAAGTGATTCTACACTTTTAGACCACATATGGTCTGTTAAACTACGTATCAGAGTATCATAATAATTGATTTCGTCATAAAAGGACCTTATCCAGCTATTATGTGGTTTACCAATGTGATATCAAACATAATCACTTTATACCTTAGGCCCAAAAAATTTGATGAAACTGCAATTGACACTGCCCAAGCTAAAAAATTTAGGGTCAGATTCGGGCTACCTTAGGGCTAGCTAGCTACCTGATTCATAATGGCGTGGTGATTTTGCAGTCGGTTCCTATTTATCTAGCGGAAATGGCTCCAACAAAGATTAGAGGAGCACTAAACATGGGGTTCCAAATGGCCATCACCATTGGTATTTTAGTGGCTGGTCTTGTCAACTTTGGCACTGCCAAGATCAAGGGCGGCTTTGGCTGGAGAATATCTCTCGCTCTTGCTGCCGTTCCTTCTCTGCTGATGACTCTTGCCGCAATCTTTCTTCCTGACACTCCAAATTCCATCCTAGAAAGAGGTCACCCCGAGAAGGCCAAGAAAATGTTAAAAAAAATCCGTGGCACAAACAACGTTGATGATGAGTTCCAAGACCTTCTTGATGCTACTGAGGCTGCTAAAAACGTTGACAACCAATGGACGAACATCACACAACCAAGATATAGGCCTCAACTTGTCATTTGCTTCCTTATTCCATTCTTCCAGCAGCTCACCGGCATCAATGTGATCATGTTTTACGCCCCAGTTCTTTTCAAGACATTGGGTTTTGGGGATGAAGCTTCTCTAATGTCCACAGTCATCACTGGCAGTGTTAATGTGGTCTCTACCTTGGTCTCCATTTTCACAGTAGATAAGTTTGGAAGAAGAATATTGTTCCTTGAAGGTGGTACGCAAATGATGATATGCCAGGTACCCAATTAACGACATAATCAATTCAATGAAACTAATTCATTATTACCAGCTTAATTTAAACAATAATAGGAAATGTCTCACTTTTTTTTTTCTTCAACTAAATCTGAATTTCTAAAGTATATTTTCTAACTAATTAAACTTGCATTACAGGTTGCTATCGGAGTGATGATAGCCATGAAGTTTGGTCTCAGTGGAGAAGGATCATTTACAAAACATGAAGCCAATTGGATCTTGTTCTTGATATGTGCATATGTAGCAGCATTTGCATGGTCTTGGGGTCCGTTGGGGTGGTTGGTGCCGAGTGAGATTTGCCCTCTCGAGATCCGATCAGCCGGACAAGCCATCAACGTCTCGGTGAACATGTTGTTCACATTCATCATTGGTCAAGTCTTCCTCAGCATGCTTTGCCACTTAAAGTTTGGTCTCTTCTTTTTCTTTGCCGGTTTTGTGTTGATTATGACCATCTTCATCACTGTCTTCCTCCCCGAGACGAAGAACGTTCCGATTGAAGAGATGAATAGAGTGTGGAAAGCACACTGGTTTTGGGGCAAGTACATCCCTGATGAGGCCGTCATTGGTAGGCAAGTTTGATTGACAAAATAAGAGTTGGATTTGTAATAATCCAAGCACTTGGTTTTGATAGAGAGGCAATTAGGAGATTTGGGGGATAATTGTTGTCCATCCCTTTGTACTCAATTTTTGGGTTTTAAATCAATAAAATCACATTTTATTTTCTTTGTCAACCAAATGGGGTTTGATATATAACCAATTACCTAATAGTATAGGCATACTCTCTCTTCACAATTCACAATGGAGATGTCTTAAATTTGAATTTTCTGTCCGCATTTTATTAAAAGAAAGAAGAGATTAAAAAGAAGGGAAACAATTTGAGCACAATAATTTACTATTTTTCATACTAACAATCATGTCTTTTAATTTTGTTTTATTTTATTCAATCTAAACGCTAAAAATAAACAAGAATCTACGAGGAGAAAAAAATGTGCTAGAAGTAATGTCATCATATATATGTGCCAATACCTTGTTAGTTGTCAATAAGGTTTAACATAGACGTGATTTGAATTAATCAATTAGTACCCAATCATTTGATGAAAAGAATTTTCTGAGCATATTGATCAGAATTTGCTGAGATAGAAACGTGGTTGATGTCTTCATTACATTATATTGCCTCAGACGCAATCTCTGCCAAAAGTTAAACGGGATGCTGCTCGAGTTTGTGGGCTCCATCTGTTGCCATGGCAAGATTGGGTCAGTAGAGATGGGTTTTTAAGTGGCTTTTGTCTTTTAGCCCAATTGTTTGGGTAAAATTCAACCCCTGGACTTATTCTTGAGGCATTTTTAGCCAAGGGATGTATGCCACTTTTAGCCTAAATTGTGCAAAACTTGTCTCCCTCAAGGGTCAAAATGAATCTGCCAAACGAATCAAGGCTAAATTAAGCCAAGAGCTAGGTACGTATGTACATCTGAAGCCAAGATACAAAGATTTACCCTTGCATCGCTGAAAGTAAAAAAAAATTAGTCCCTGTTATAAATAGGTAAAAGTTAGAGAGATAACCCTTACTAATGACAGGAGTGAAGCAGGTGTAAAATATCATACTGTAACTATAACACAAAGAGCTGACTAATCAAAGAGGGAGGAATAGATACTGATGTTATTGATCTTTCCTCTTTTCTCAGTGTATTTTGATAGCAACCGGAGCGCTCTATTTATAGATCAACTCCAAACGTATTAATTACACCCTTTGAAAAATATGATCTCTTTCATTTCCAAAGTCTACATTACTATGTGTGGGTATTGAAAAATCAGTGTGGGCATTCATTAATTTGCCAACATTTTCAACATTGCCAATATTTTCAATACTGCCAATGTTTTCAACACTCATTCTTGGATGCCCACATATCAACATTAGTTGCCTCGTTAAAACCTTGCTTGGAAAAACCCAGTGGTTAAAAACCATAGCGAAGGGAAAAAAGTACAACTTTACCTGGATTGTTGATATAGTGTTAAATATGCTTATGTTGCCTCGTTAAAACCTTGATAGGAAAAATCCAGTGGGAAAAATCCTAATCGAAGGAAAAAGAGTACAACATGCATTTATCATGGATGCCCGCCTGATATATCTCTCCCCCTAATTCCACATTCTCCAAATTTATTTGATTGGTAAGTCGACGTAATCCGATACTTTGCACTAACTTTTGAAATGTGCACTTTGGTAGACTTGGTGAACATGTCTGCCAGATTTTTATTGGAATGGATTTGTCCGACTTCAATAACTTTAACCTTCTGAAGCTCATGTGCACTGAAAAACTTTAGAGATATGTGTTTGGTTTTATTGCCCTTGATGAATCCTTCCTTCATTTGGGTAACACAGGTTGCATTATCTTCATGGATGACAATAAGAGTGTCTGTCGTAGAAGTTAGACCACATGAATTCTGGATATGATGGATCATTGATCTTAACCAAGAACATTCATGACTTGCTTTATGTAAAGCAAGTATTTCTGAATGATTTGAATATGTAGCAACTAATGTTTGCTTTGTTGAGCGCCATGAGATTGATGTATTTCCATTCTTGAACACATATCCAGTTTGTGAGCGGACTTTATGCGGATCAGAGAGAAAACCAGCATCTGCATATCCAACAAGAACCTGGTCATTTATGGATTTCTTTGAGTAAAAGAGACCTATGTCTTTTGTCCCACGAAGGTATTGCAATATATCTTTGATTTCCTTCCAATGATGAATTGTTGGAGCAAAGCTATACCTTATAACAAGTTGACTGAAAAGGCTATATTTGGTGTAGTACATTGTTCTAAATACAATAAAGCACCTATTGCACTCAAATATGGTACTTCTAGACCAATGACCAGTTCATCATCTTTTTTTAGACGGAATGGATCTTTCTTAACGTCCAAAGAACGAACGACCATTGGCGTGTTTAGTGGATAAGCCTTGTCCGCGCCAAATCGCTTCAGGATTTTTTCAATGTAAGTTGATTGGTGGACCAAAATTCCACTAGCACAATGCTCGGTCTGCAGGCCGAAACAAAATTTTGTTTTTCCAAGGTCTTTCATTTCAAATTCGTTTTTCAGATATTCAACAGTTTTATGATGCGATGATTTATACGCGCACAAATTAAACCCTCTTTTTGTCAATTGTAGTGAAGTGTATAAGTAGGGATCGTTCTGGACCGGGGATTAGGAGGGATTGTTAATCACTTGGATTTTACTTAAAAACGTAAAAACACAATATAAAACACTATTTAATGCTCGAAGAATGCAAAACTAAAAATAAGAAAGATTAAGACTAAGACTTCAACGAAATAGGGGGGAATTGGATTTGGACGAATTTAAACTAAAATGGATACTTGGAAACAAAACAAATTGTAAATATGGATTTGACGGAAATGAATGGATGGGAAGCTAGCTAAGGGGTTCATCGCCACACATGTTATACTTTCATACAAAACGATTTCTAATTACTTTTCAATAAACCATGAATTCTCAACGCTCCGGGTTAATTAGGTCCGCTTAAATTAACCGTCAAGTTTTCCTTAAGTTAATGAATTGGATGATTGCATACGACAACCCAAAGCATTCCTCACAAGTTCCCTACATGAATTGCATAATAGAGATACAAGCAAGAATCATTAAGCAACATGAAAACTATAAGTATTGACGAGGCATTCGTTACTATGATTGCATGAAACTTATGCCAAGAATTTGTTTAACGCGATTGTTTATAAGCAACCTCCACTACTTGTGAATATAAGTTCATAACTATTACGTGAAACTCACTTATATTCTAGCGTCAAATTCATGCATGGAAATTAAGCGTTCATTCTTAATAAACATACATAAATAGGATATCAATCAAGTAGTTAAACAAATTGAATTCACAACTTATGAAACGTAATTAGAAGTAATCAAATCATATTGCAAGCATAAACATATATTTCGAATCACCCCCTAGCTAAGGGGGGTTTAGTTCCTCATATTTACAAAACAAAGAGAATTGAAATTAAACATTGAAATCAAAGAAACACCTAAACATTCCAACAACTCAAACTTGAATTGTATGAACGTTTAGGCCCTCTTATCTTCCTCTTCGTTGTGGCACAAGGTCTAAGGAGATGTTTAGGGCTTTAAGTGTATGTGGAATGGAGTGGGGAATGGTTGGAGAGGGATGGAAATGGAAGAGGATAGATAGAAGATAGAAAGAAACCCACGACAAGGATTGGGAAATGGTGTGGTTGTGGTGTGTTGTGTATGAAATGAGGAATGAATTGAATGATGGGAATGCAAGGGCTTTTATAGGAGAATGAAGGTGTAAATGGCTGTTTGTTTAAGCATGCAAGTGGCTAATTAATGATGAACAAACAGCTAGTAAAGCATAAGCAAGCTGGAATTGCATGTGAAGGTGTTGGAATGTCAATGTGAAGTGCACGGCAAGGATTTTCAGGATGGGTCTTTGTGAATGATGGCAGGTTGTGTGGTGGTTTTGTTGTTGGTTAAAGCTTGTGAAAGCATGTGCAATGTGTGGTGGATGAATGAGATTGCATGTGGCTTTATGGTTGAATGATTAAAGGGTGCATGTGGGTGGATATGTGGCTGAAATGATGAATTGGACAACCTGGAAATGGCAAGGGAAATGCACGGCATGGGACTTGTTGTTTGTGTGAAGTGTGTGTGAATGCATGTGAGTGGCTGATTTGGTATTGGGAAATCATGCGAATTAAAGGGATGAAGGTGGGTTATGCATGGCATGGGTATGAGTGGAATGATAGCTAGGTTATGATGATGAATGCATGTGGAATAAAGATGGAGAAGGTGGTGTAATGATGCATGGTTGTAGTTTAGGGTGTTTGAATATGGATTTGCATGGCTTTTGAAGTGATTGTGGGTTTTGGAATTGGAAGGAAATGCATGGCTTTTGGGGTTGGTTTAAGAGAGAATGGGCTAGGCCCTTTGTTTTATGTCCAAAGTGAATACAAGGCCTTCAAATTCGTCCAACACTTTGGCTCCAATCATATGCTATCCATTCCAAGCCCAATTTTGCTCCAAAATGCTCCAAAATGCATCTTTTTGCTCCCTTAGCCATATGAACCTAAAAACACACGAAAATGGCTTAAACTACTAAAACAACTATGAATTAACAACATAGATGCATGAAAACAACCTAAGTAAGTCGCCTAAATATGCTCCTATCATTTTATTGAGCTCTTCAAAGGTTCAAACTAAGTTCATATCATCGACATATACTGCCATTATAGCAAATGCAGAGTTGGATTTCTTAATGAACACACAAGAGCAAATGACATTGTTGATATACCCTTCTTTGATCAAATACTCACTAAGACAATTATACCACATTCGTCCAGATTGTTTTAGCCTATACAATAATCGCCTTAATTTGATTGAGATTATACCTCGTGGTATGTTAGTTGTTTCAAGCAACTTAAGTCCTTCTGGGACTTTCATATATATATATATATATATATGTGTTAGTATCTAATTCTCCATATAGATACGTGGTGATGACATCCATAAGTCGCATGTCAAGTTTTTCTGAA